GTATATTAGCTGTAATCGATACAGTAGGATACGAACGTTTGAAAACATTGGCATTTCATCAAAGTACAATGCTTCGGTTCTTCATTTTTATTGCTTTTCTTCATTGTTCATGTGAAGCTATTAACTTCGAATTGACTATCGATATTGGAATTGGATCTGGTCAGAAATCAACTCCTTCTACTACTACTACTAAGGATTCATATCAGGAAGCAAACACAATAGCAACCAATACTACTACTGATGAAAATGCTAATGGCACAGAAGCACAAGGGACTACTGTAGACCCGATTGAAACGAGCAACTTTCCAGTGATCGATACTAGCTTTGGTGAATCGACTAACAACACAGAAGAGAATCAGTCCACTACGATGGAATCTTTTCAAGGAATCACCACTGCAATAATTGAGAACACTTTGGAGAACTTGAATAATAATACTTGGACAGGACAACCAATAACAACTACACCATCAACTACGTATGCTTGCCAGTCAACATTGAATTCTACTATGCTTGATGATCTGAAGAATGAAGTTATTAATACTATTATTAGCGCTCTGTCGCGTGATTTCACTACCCAGTTGGCAGCGCTTGAGACACGTCTTTCAACCTCAAAGTGCTGCTCGAATGAGAAACCACCTGCTAAAGTAAAACTCGACTGGATCATATATGAAAATCTTAGTATTGCACTGAACGGATGGAACCTTGTTTTCAATCAACCATATAATCATCGGACTCGTAGCATTGATCTTGTTCAAGTTGCTGGTATATGCCAAAATGAAGTGATTGTTGCTGCTACCATCAACGGATCAATTCTTCTGGCAGCTGTTGGTCCAGCTAGTGTATTGACAACGAATACGACATGGAATCAACCACAAAAGTTTGGCAATGTTTTCTGGTATCGAACGCCGGGAAAGTCATTCGGTTTTGCTCCAACGTTTACCATTCGACAAACTCAAGGAGATAATGAGGATTTGAGCAGTTCTCTTCGACTGAGTTGGCTTCTCGATCAAGATTTCGGTGGCTATCGAGCCGGTGTTATGCGTTCACTGACTGACAGCTCTATCTGGTATAAAACTATCTATTGTAGCTAGTCTTCTTTTTCATAAAAAAATGCATACTTCAAGAACGCAATAAATGATATCGATTGAAGCCAATCATTTGCATCAAATATTCGTTACCGATTTCATAGTCATGCTTTTCACATTCAACTCATTCCAATATTCATATGTTGATAGTTTCAAATGCTGCATAAAGGCAATACAATTCAAATAGTAAAAAGAACAGATGACATGTTTCAATCAGAAGATGAATTGTTGAACAGTTCGATTGGAGAGCATGGGTATGAGTATGAGCATGAAGGGCGCACCAGCAGTACAAGGGATAAAAATTGCTTCCCCAAGTTGTCCATATTTTCTTGGTAAATTAGAGTAACAATACGTACATAACTCAACATACATATATTTCATGGACTGCACACCAGTGAGCCACCTAAGTGGCCATCTGATAGGCACTGTGACGTGTCGATTTGAGATTGTCATATATATAGAAATTTAAAACAGAGCGCTTGGATTCTCAGCTTCCCACGGGTCGAGAGCTCGGGGATAAGTCACCTTAACATGGAGTGTGTGGGTTTGGATGCGAGTGTGGGTGTAGGTGCGGGTATGGGCAAAAAAAAAGAATACGCTTACACCCACATCCTCATACACATCCCACACCCACACCCTCAGGTTTTTTTAGGCTGAAAGTTGAGCCAATCAGAGGTTTTCGATATTGAGCTTTCAACCAATCAGCTTCTTTGTATCATATTTATCTGCGATTGGGTCAGGTTTCATCGCGATGGATGATCAACACAGTATAATTGTAGTCTTTGAGGAAATTATGGCACAGACTTAAAACGCAGAAGCAACATGATGATATGCTATTGAGAGAAGATAAGCAACGATACAAGTGGAAAAGTTAATGATAGAAAGCCGCATGACGCGAAATCGATTCTGAGAAACAAAAATTGCCGGTTTCATTACTTCGTCTTCTTCGTATTTCAACGTTTATTTACTGAGTCAAACTTTCGCCAAAGGTGAAATAATCGACTTCAGGACTTCAAAGAACATAAAGAGACTTGAAATTTTAATGAGACTTTAGAAGGGTTCCAACGACTTCACTAACAGAGACTTTGGAAGACTTCAAAACACTTCAAAAGTTCATCAGACTTCATGAGCAAAGTTTCTATTGTTACCTTTTCGACTTCCACTATCCACAAGTATATAGTAGGCCGCTATACTGACTGTCGGAATACTAATCACCGAAAAACCAATCTACTAAGCCAAAGTAGCCTTGACCCATATGAACGATCTATCCTTCAAACAAAACATGTTTCATTCCATTCACTGCTCTTTCTTTGTGAAATGAAAGGACTATATAAATAAGAGAAAGAATATGTATGTACGTTTTCCTAAACTAATCACAGTAAAATGAAAATGAAAAAGAGACGATATTAAACTCTATACTGATGAATTAATCGGGTAAAATAAAATATTATAAGCAAAAGCAACAAAATCAATATGTATGCTAATAAATTGAACTCAGTAAAAAAAAAGTATTGTATGTGAAGGAACAACTAACGATCTCAATCTCTAAAAGACCTAGTGACTTAGAATAAAAATATATCATATCAAAGAAAAAGACCTGTTTGTGTTTTTTTAAATTGAATTAAGAAAATTGAAAAAAGATTATGTAAAAAAACCATATCAGTGAAGATACACCTGAGAGGAGTACAACATGTTAAAATTGTAATTACAAAAGCGCTTTATATATTCAGAAGTCTTATACAGTAAAAGATGAAATTTGCATATGATTAATTAGAATCGATTAAAATAATCTAATTCACTTGAGTTAATTTTTTTGATTTCAAATCAATTTTATTCAATTTCCGAGACAACTTCATGGTTTCTATACGCGAGCAATAAAAACAACCCATAAAAAAATTACGGTTTCGTGTTCGAATATCGAGAAGACCGCATATCTTTAATGTATATAATAAAAAGCGATTAAAATGTGAAATTAGATTACAATCAATTAGAAGATACGAAGAGATTATAGTAGATTAAACAATGAGAATAGTTTATAATTGATAAACCGATAGCATAGAATAAGAACCAATAATTGCCATGTAACGAAAAAAGCTAGCTTTAATCGATTTCTTTGTGATTTTTTGTTGATTGGAAAAAGTCTCTATTCAATTATATTTTATCTTATCGTTTATCGACTAGTAAAACAGTTTAAAAAGTGATCAAAATCGAGTTGAAGTGAATTATATGAGAATTTTCACCATGACTGTTGCGGCACAAAACCCGATTTACAATCGTCTGTAATCGATTTTCTTAATCAATTACAATTTTTTAATCTATAACAAACGGTTATAATTTAGGTTTTAGTGCGGAATGATCCTGTCATTAGTTTTGATTAGGCATATAGAATTTTGAAACTATCATAAATTTTAACCGCTTTGATTTTTTTGCTCGTATGTCGTAGCAATGCACAATAAATTTACTCATGCTTTATAGCATTTTATAAAAAGATCATTAGTGAAAGAGAATGATTCAGACAAGAGGTAAATATTTTTAGTGGAAAAAGAAAATATTCATATAAAACAAGATGTGTTCGGAAATCAAACTATGATTCTTTTTGCCGATCTTCGACACTATTTTATATCCTTTTAGAAGATATCACATGTAAACTAAAACTAATTTTAGCAATAGAGAATAATTTGCTCTGCAAATATAGTCATTGCACGTATAGATTCTCTCATTAATGTAGAGTATTTTCCCATCAAGTAGCAACATACAGTCCTGGCAAAAAATTCTGGGACACTTGAGAATGTTTGTGCAAAATTTTATACTTCGTTCGAATTAAACTTTATATATATGGTAAGTGTAGTTATTGCTCAAGCTTTCATATTATGTCATACAAACGCAAGAGTTCTGGTTTAATATAAATAAAATAAAAGAAACAAAAAACTCCTATTGGAAAAAAGTTCTGGAACAGCTTCGACTTGTTACGAGAAAATCTTATATCATAGAAAATATACGTTTTATGCTATTGAGTCAATCACAAAACACACTCCTTAAATATTGCACAATTTGTGATGAATATTCAGTAACATCTAATCTTGATCTTGATAATATCAAGCAAATCTTTATTGAAAATAATAAAATGACGCAAAAAATCCCACCTGAATATCAAAGAGCTCAATGTATTGCATTGAGTAATGCTGGCTTTTTTTGTCGTGAAGCTAGCAAATTTATTGGAATTTTCAAATCATCTGTTCAACGTGCCATCAAGCGCTTCGAAGAAACAGGTGACTTTCATGATCGACGACGTAGTGGTAGACCAAAAAAGCTGAATGATCGACATATTCATATGTTAAAATGTTTAATGAAAAATGATGGCCGTTATTCTTCACGTGAAACAACTATTAAATTAAATAATTCATTAAAAAATCCACTGTGTAGAAGAACAGTAATTAATTATCTTCATAAAAATGGTTATGAATATAAAACAAAAATTAAAAAACCATCTCTTACCAAAAACAGAAAAAAGAAAGACTTAATTGGTGTTTAGCACATATAAATTGGATCATAAATGATTGGAAACGTGTTATATTTAGTGATGAAATTACGTTTTATGTTATAAAACGTAAAAATAAAGTTAAAATATGGCGTACTAAAGATGAACGATGGAAAGAAGATTGTATGGAAGTAGCTGCTGTTGTTGTTGGTGGTCATGTTAATTTTCGGGTGCAATTACATCTGAAGGAACCGGTTGTTTTCGAATTTATAGTGAAAATACTAACAGTAACGTTTATTGTGACATTTTAAACAATTATTTGATTCCTACAGTACACTTATACCAAATGGGAAATGATTATATTTACCAATACGACAATGCCAGATATCATGTATCACGACAAGTCCAAGCAAAATTTCATGAATTAGGTGTTGAATTATTAGAATAGACAGCTAAAAGTCCAGATTTAAATGTCATCGAGCATTTAAGGTCCATCATTGATAATAAATTAAAATCCAGACCATTATCTTCTGTAAAAGAATTAACTGAAGCTTTATCGATTGAATGTTTATCAATGAAACCAGAATTATGTAATAAACTAGACTTGTCGATGTCAAAGAAAATTCAAAAATGTATAGCAAATAGTCGAAAATCTATAGACTGTTAAATTTTATTTTATTTTTTGTATTGTTTTATAGTATTATTGATATTTATTGTATATGTTTCAGAACTTTTTGTCTATGGAAGATTTTCGCGCTTTTATTTTACTTATATTAAAACTAGAACTTTTGCGTTTGTATGACATAATATGAAAGCTTCAGCAATAAGTACACTTACCATATATATAAAGTTTAATTCGACCGAAGTATAAAATTTTGCACAAAACATTCTT